TCAGCATCTTTAAAACGTATAGTCGACAAAAGAAATGATTATTAGGTCTCTAAAGAGAAACAATGTGTGTTTACAAAGGAGAGACATCTTTGATTACCTATTAAGTATATTTAGCACTAAGATGAAGATCTCTGAGCATTTGAAATAATAATAATAATGATAATAATAATAATAACAAGAATTCTACCTCATTTTAGTGAAAATACTTGCATGAGATCCCAGGTATTTTACACACTGTCAAGCATTGGAGCAAAGTTCAAATAAGAAATCTTTCATAACTTAAATCAAATGATGCACAGGCACATGAAAGAAAGAAACATAAAAATATTGACATATAAACCATGGTTTTATGGAAATAAAATATTTATTGACATGTTCAAACTTTAGACATTTAGGATGATAACAATAAAAAGCATGACTTCATTCACAAGATGGGAAGATCTGACCAAATTGAAAATAAATATGATAAAGCCAGGATGGAACAACAAAATGAAAGAAAGCGCTGTCTTTATGGAAGGCCCCCCTGGTGGCACAGCAGGTTAAACAGCTGAGCTGCTGATCTTGCTGACAAAAAGGTTGGTGGTTCGAATTTGGGTAGCAGGGTGAGCTCCCGCTGCTAGGTTCAGCTTCTGCCAACCTAGCAGTTTGAAAACATGCAAACGTGAGTAGATCAATAGGTACCGCTTTACGAGAAGGTAATGGCGCTCCATGCAGTCATGGAGCTCCATATGACCTTGGAGGTGTCTACGGACAATGCCAGCTCTTCGGCTTAGAAAAAGAGATGAGCATCACCCACAGAGTCAGACACAACTAGACTTAATGTCAGGGGAAAACCTTTACCTTATGTAGCAGTTTTTAATGTCCTGAATCAGAGATATTTAACATGTTCCAAAGCAGAACTGGAAGAAGTGCCTGCAACTTGTGCTTCCTATCTCCTTCCATGTATTTCAAAGCAGGGCTGGAATATTTTGCCCATTATAACTGCTGTAAATTCCTGAAGTGATCTTCCAGACTCAAAAGTTGCCTCTGGGTGAAAAATCAGTATATTTTTCTTTCTCCATTATAAGTAGAGGCACGGAAAGAAAAGGTGTGTAGTTCATTTTCATTACAGTGTTGGGCTCAACGGTTATTTTTCAACCAACTGTTAGATAGATATGAACAGCAAGCATAACCCTCTTATATGAAGCAACTCGGAGAAAGAAAAGAGTCAACAAGAAAGGTTAAAAGCTCTATCTGAAGATGCTGGAAAATGCATCAATATTGCCTGACTCCAGATAAAGTTTGCCCATTTAGTTGGCTTTGGCTGGCATCTTGCTTGTTAGTCTCTAAAATAGACTCATTCAATCTATTCTTGAATGGTGAGTCAACACATAGTTAAATGTAATGAATTCAATTGGTTTATTCTATTCAAGACTATAATAGGATTTAGGCCCTATTTTTACAGGCGGCAATCAATACATGTTGGCTTGTTCATTGATTTGAATGTGTTGGGTTGTTTTTGCAAATTCTCTGACTAATGATTTCCAATCTGATGACTTTCCAGAATAGGGTACGCTAACAGATCTAAATATGCAAGGACTAAAAGTGTAGAACAGGCAGGAAGTAGACAAACCCCAAGGTCTGTATGTAATCTGGCACCACTGTAAAAGGGCATCTACACTGTAGAATTAATGCAGTTCAACACGTCTTTAACTTTCATGGCTCAATACTATGGATCCATTGAAGTATTTAGTTTAAGGAGTTCTTTAGCCTTATCGGCCAAAGAGTGCTGGTGTCTCATCAAACTACAAATATCAAAATTCCATAGTATTAAGCTAGGGTAATTAAAGTGGCATCAAACTGTATTAATTCCACAAATGCACCCTCAGTGATAAGAAAAATCTAGTAGGACAAGATTTCAGATCGCAATGAGGCTTTTAAGAGTATCCACCTAACTCAATAAAGGTTAGAAGATGCATTTGCAAGAGGGACACAATGCAACAGAGTCAGATCACAAACTGGGCACCTCTCTGAACAATCATAAAACTAATTATCAAAATGGCTCAAAGTGTCAAATATGACTTTCTTGCCATCCCTTGTGATTTAACCCAGCGCTTGGCATTCACAGGTTTGTTCTCTTCATAGTTGGGTCCAAAGCTAATGGCTGAATGGGGACCGGGCCAAATGGAAGAGAGTTCCCTTCTTTCTTTTCTCTCTCCACTACTTCTTCTCTTTTATCTCTCTCTCTCTTCTTCCAGCTAATGGGCAAAGGCCAGATTATTGAACTGGGTTATCTGCAGGGCCCTGAACTGTGCATTAAAGGATGTATTCTAAAATATAGGCCAAGGGCTTTATGAGATCAGAAGGACTGAGCACCAAAAGAGCGAAAAATACCTGCACTGTCCTCTTCAGCCCCAAACTTCCTATGTCACATTTCCAGTGAGATTTCCATGCACTCTCAGGTCCCTTCCATACAACTGAATAAAATCCCACATTGTTTGCTTTGAACTGGAATATATGGTAGTGTAGACTCAGATAACCCAGTTCAAAGCAGATATTGTGGGATTTTCTGCCATGATATTCTGAGATATAGGTCTGTGTGGAAGGGCCCCAAACTCACATATAACCCAGAATATCAAGGCAGAAAATTGAAAAAGCTCTGAGTCCACTGATTGGTTGAGGTAGCTGGAGAATCTCAAAAAAGTAACTTTCTGAAGTTCTAAAGTATTCTAGGCTGCAGAAATGGGAGCGATTCATTAAGGCTCATCTTTTTCCTAATAGTGGGGAAGCTGTTTAAGGGACCTGAAAAGTGGAATAAATGAGAAAAGAAAAGGATGAAAGGGATGGGAAATGGCAAGAAATATGAGAACAGGAAGCAGCAACCTGGGGTGCACCTATATTGTAGAATTATTTTAGTTTGATACAATTTTAACTGTCATGGCTCAATGCTGGGGGATCATAAGAGTTGTTTTATGAAGTCTTCAGCCTTCTCTGACAAGGTGGGCTGCTGTCTCACCAAACCACAGCTCCCACGGTTCCATAGTCATGAGGCATGTCAGTTAAAATGCCATTCACTCTACAGTGTAGCAGGCCTTCTCAAACAGCGAACTTCCAGCTGTTTGGGCCTCCAACTCCCAGAAGCCCTTGTCAGCTTGTTCAATGGTCAGGAATTCTGGGAGCAGGAGGGCCGCAGTTGGAGGAGACCTGGTGTAGATGCCTTCTCTGCTAAAGAGGGTGTCAGTGCCTCACCTAACTATTTTTTCCATAGCATTGAGCCAGGACAGTTAAAGTGGTGTCGAGCTGCATTCATTCTACAATGTCTCCAAAACTCTGGCTTTTCGGGGGGTTTGGAGTCCAGCTCCCACCATCCCTGTCCATTGGCCAAGATAGTGGAATATGCTGCCTTGGAGTGTGATGGAATCTCCTTCTCTGGTGGGATTTTAAAGCAGAGGCTGAATGGCCATCTGTCAGGAGTGCTTGGGTGGTGTATTCCTGCAAGGGGGATTTAAAATGCAGACGTGTACATTTCATCTTAGGACCATACAAGCATCTCGAGCCCACTGTAGCATTGCAGCACACCCAAATACCTGGGAGTCACTCGGGACCGTGCTCTGACCTATAAGAAGCACTGCTTGAATATCAAGCAAAAAGTGGGTGCTAGAAATAATATCGTACGAAAACTGACTGACACAACCTGGGGATCACAACCAGACATAGTGAAGCTATCTGCCCTTGCACTTTGCTACTCTGTTGCTGAATACAAATGCCAGTGTGGACTACATCTCACCACATTAAAACAATGGATGGGGCTCTTAATGGGACATTTCGCATTATCACAGGATGTCTATGCCCCACTACACTGGAGAAATTACACTGCTTTGGATGTAGCAGCTTATAATGAAAGGACCAAGACATTGACATCTCCGACATATCCTCTGTTTGGATATCAGACAGCACGCCAATGCCTTATATCAAGAAGCAGCTCCCTAAGATCTACAGAGATACTTGCAGGAACACCACAGCAAGTGAGAGTCCAAAAGTGGCAGGTTAAAACCCAGCACCTCAAACAGTGGCTGAGACAGGATGAGAAACTCCCTCCTGGGCACACAGAAGACTGGGCGACTGAAGGCGCTGAACAGATTACACTCTGGCACCATGAGATGCTGAGGTAACCTTAAGAAATGGGGCCACAAAGTGGAGTCCACGACATGTGAGTGTGGAACAGAGCAAACCACAGACCACCTACGACAATGCCCTGCCATGTGCACAATAGAGGACCTCCTCACAGTGACACCAGATGCACTCCAAGAGGCCAGCTTCTGGTCAAAGAAAATTTAGCATCATGCCAAGTTTTTTAAAAACTTTGTTTCTGTTTTCAAATGCATTTTAACGGTACCCTCAAGGTTAAAGGGAAGGTAAAGGTTTTCCCCTGAAAACCTTTAAAGAGTGGCACCTATTGATCCACTCACATTTGCATGTTTTTGAACTGCTAGGTTGGCAGAAGCTGAGGCTAAAAATGGGTGCTCATACTGCTCCCTGGATTCTAGCCTGCGACCTTTCCATCTGCAAGTTCAGCAGCTCAGCGGTTTAACCCACTGTGCCACCGGGGGCTCCCTCAACTTGCTTCTAAACAAGGGGGATGGACTGGATGACCTTTGGGGGTCCCCACTGGGAGTTGAACTCCAAAGCCCTTAGAGGAGGAGGAGGAAGAGGAGGAGGAGGAGGAGTTTGGGAGTCCTTGGTGAAGATCAGAGGATGCTTGACATGGGAGGGAGGAGGGAAAGGGGAGAAGGAGGGAGGGAGGCAAGGAGGAGGGTGGCCTTGGCTGCAGGGGAGCCTGCACCATGGAAGAGCCCTGGGCAGGTGCCAGGAGCTTCGAGGGCGGGATGAAGCAGGAAGGGGGCATGATCCAAGGGAGAAGATGCTCGGAGGAGGATGGATGCGTGGATGCGTGGATGGAGGGAGGATGGAGGCAGGCAGGCAGGCAGGCAAGCGGGTGTTTCCCTCCTTCCCGCTCTCACCGGTCTCCTGCTCCCCGAGGAAGGCATCCTCCTCCTTGCGGGAGCGGAGGCAGCTCTCCGAGCCCCCTCCTCCTCCTCCTCCTGCCGCCGCCGCCTCCTCCTCGGGCAGCCGGGGAAAGCTGGTGATGCTCATGTAATCCACGGGCGAGTAGGCGCCCAGGCTGCTCTGCTGGCTCGCCTCCTTCTCGGCCGCCGCAGCCGCGGCTCCAGCAGTCGCTGCGCTGCTCGCCATCCTTCTGCCGGGAAGGGAAAGCCAAGCCAAGCAAGCAAGCAAGGAGGCAAAGCGCGCTCGCGGGGAAGGGCCGGGGGAGGCCCCACCGAGCAGGTGCTGGGGGAGGGACGGGGCAAAGAGAAAGGGGCGGGGACTTCACCTGTGGTGGCCCCTTGAAAAAGGGAGCAGCGCCCGCTTTCCCCGCATCATGTTCTAAAAAGGTAAAGGTAGTCCCCTGACATTAAGTCCAGTCATTTCTGTGTCCAATTCTGGGCACCACAATTGAAGAGATATTGACAAGCTGGAATGTGTCCAGAGAAGGGCGACTAAAATGATCAAGGGTCTGGAGAACAAGCCCTATGAGGAGCAACTTAAAGAGCTGGGCATGTTTAGCCTGAAGGAGAGAAGGGTAATAGTATGATAGCTGGGTCTGGAAGCTTCGAGCATTACGCTGTTTCCGCTTCGTTCCTTCGGGAGCGCTGATTGCACAATGCAGAACGGAACGTAAATATTATAGAAGGAATGTAAGAGTTCTTTAATAGTAAAACCCAAACCCAAACTGTGCAGGTACAGCTGTACCAGGAGCTCCAATTTTGTTTGCTTTGCATTGAATGTTTGTTGTAGTCCTAAGTTTCAGGGACTCTGCAGATAGGTGGCTTCTTTTGGCTGCAATCATAGGGCAAGCCACCTGTCAATTATAGTTAGGTTCCCTGGTCCCGCCCCTTTTGGGTTTTTGGAGGGAATAGGAGCCTTTTTGGGTCAGTCCACACAGAGAAACTTTCCATGCAGGACATAATACTAAGAGCTCCTGTAGAAAGCTTCGTCTTCTACAGCTTGGCCGGGGTTATACAGCCCACAGCTTGGCCGGGGTTATACAGCCTTACAGCTCCTTTGCTGAGGGACTTCAGTCAGCCATCACTGAAACCTGAACTCCTTTTTCCCTGGAAGTCTACAAAGCTCTGCTTGGTAAGGGTCACTCGCAGAAGCCAGAAGCAGTTGGTACCGGGTGCAGGGGCTCCACGCCATCAGAGGCAAAGACAGACTGCCCAGATTAGAAGTTAAGGATTTCCCCATTAGTTACAATTATGAAGATAGTGCCTGTTCCCTGTGGACAAGATTGAGAGAGAGCCAATAGACTGTCAAGAAAGCCTTAAAGTACCTGTTTGTTTTCATTAATAAAGAACTTTGTTGAACCTTTAAGCAATCTAAAGACTCTGTTTTAAGGAAACCCAAAGGCCTTTAATCTGAGGCAGCCCCGGCGTCCCGTTGGGCACACAGAATTTATGTCCTGTCTACAGTCTTATGCACAGGCCCAGCGTGCGACAGCACACAAACCCTTACCCTAAATCTTACCCTAACCCAAACCCTAATCCTAAACTTTACCCTAACCTTAACCACTAACCCTAACCGCAACCCTTACCCTACCCCTAACCCTTATCCTTATCGTCCCTTCCTTTCTCTCTGGACCACGTGGTCGCTTCCCTTATTCACAACCACCATTTCGGAATGTGCATAATGCTTGGAGCTTCTGGACCCAGCAATCATACTATCCCCGAGAGAAGGCTGAGAGGTGACTTTAATTTCCATGGCTCCATGCTGTGGAATTCTGGTAGTTGTAGTTTGGTGAAGCATCCATACTCCTTGGCAGAGGAGGCTAAAACAACAAATCCCAGGTTTCCATAGCACTGAGCAGTAGTGCCTCACCAAGCTACAACTCCCGGGATTCTACAGCCATGGCAGTTAAAGTGTCAAACTGCATTAGTTCTACAGTGGAGATGCACCCAAAGTGGGGCCAACATTCACAGGCAGATGAAGCTTAAGACCTTGTGAAATTGCAACTTTTGTGATGGCAGTTAAAGTGGTGTCTAAACAGCATTAAGTCTACAGTGGAGATGCACCCTAGCACGTCATTTACTACTTTTGTGTGTTCCCATAAAGTTCTCTAGAAGTTGTTGTAGGTCAACAGAAGTGTCTGTACTTGCTGTCTCCAGATGGGTGTTGCTACACTGCTGCCAAAATCCACAGTTTACTGCTATATACTGGTCTCATCTCAGAACCACTAATAGGATACAATAGGTTACAACATACACATCAAATGTGCAGTTAAAAACTAATGAAACCCATAAACTCCATAAAGGTAAAATGTGATATATTAGCTTGGCCTCCACTTGTAATGGCTTGCCCAATTAGTATGTTTCCAAGAAGAGCTTTGGCTAGACCTTTGCTGGCTTTTAAATCACCTTCATGACAATTGACCTTATTTTGTGGGGCAAAGACTCTCCTTCCAAATGCGGAAGACAGTTTTGAAAAGTTACTTTGGAAGACTGTGACTCCCAGAATCTGCCAGCCTCCATGACCACATTGTGTGAAGGATGTGGAAAGAGGTAGCCAAACAAACATTTCTAAGATCCATGGGATTTTTTTTCTTACAAAAGGGAACAGGAGGCTCCTCTATTTACCCCGTAAAAACTGGGCTATTAGACGACTTTCTAAGCCTTTAAAATCCTTTGAAAAGTTGGGGGTCGTCTAATCTCCCGGATATAGCAGATGACAAATGGTAGCGACACTGGAGCCGAAGCAGCCGAGGCTGCGGATGAGAATCTCCGCTCGCAGCGGCCGGTGCTGCCAGCGAGGCTTCCAGCCTCTGTCTTCAGCCTCCAGGAGCAGCGTGGCGCAGGCCTGACGCTCCGTCGGGCCCCAGCTGGGCTCAGTGAGGAAAGAGGCAGCGTGAGGAAGGAGGCTGGAGGGCAGCCTTTCTCACGCTGCGTCCCTCCTTCCTGGGCCAAATTGGGGCCAAGGGAGCGTCTGGCCCAGGCCGCGCTGCTCCGCGGCCAGAGCTGTCCTGCGCAGCCTTTCCTGCCTCCAGCGCCAAGGAAGGCATCTGCGGGGCGAGGGAAGTGGAGGAGGGAAAGGTGCACACCTGCGGAGACCTGCACTGGGGTAAGCAGCAAGCAGACTTTAGCCTGTGCAGGCCTCCGCAGGTGTGCACCTTTCCCTCCTCTTCCCTCGCCCCGCAGATGCCTTCCTCAGTGCTGCAGGCAGGAAAGGTGTGTGAGGGAGGGAAAGGTGCGCACCTTTCCCTCCTCTTCGCCCCGTGAGCGCCTTTACCATTGCTGCCAAGGAAGGCATGCACGGGGTGAGAGAGAAGGGGGAGAGGTGCGCGCCTTTCCCTCTCTTGCCCCATGTGCAGCTTTTCTGCCTCTTCGCACGACTGCCCCCGTGGTTGCGCAGGGGCCGAGAGAGGAGGATAGCAAGGCCGCCAGGGCTCCCTCCTCCTCTGTCATCGCTGCAGCTGCCGAGGAAGGAGGGGGGGAGCAGGGAAAGACAGAAGGGGGTTGGAGCAGATGGCCCTTGGGGTCTCTTCCAACCCCTTTATTAATGTTGTTATTTTTGAAGCTGGGTGGTCGTCTGTCGGGTGCTTTGTGCATTTGCTGCATGAAGGCAGAAGGGGGCTGGACTAGATGGCCCTTGGGGTCTCTTCCAACTCTTATTATTATTATTATTATGATTGAGAAAGACTGGCTGTCTGTCAGGGGTGTTTTGATTGTGCTTCTGCTGCATTAAGGCAGAAGGGGGTTGGACTAGATGGCCCTTGGGGTCTCCTCAGACTTATTAGTATGAATCTTATTGTTATTATTATTATTATTATTATTATTGAGAAAGGTTGGCTGTCTGTCAGGGGTGTTTTGATTGTGCTTCTGCTGCATTAAGGCAGAAGGGGGTTGGACTAGATGGCCCTTGGGGTCTCCTCAGACTTATTAGTATGAATCTTATTGTTATTATTATTATTATTATTGAGAAAGGTTGGCTGTCTGTCAGGGGTGTTTTGATTGTGCTTCTGCTGCATTAAGGCAGAAGGGGGTTGGACTAGATGGCCCTTGGGGTCTCCTCAGACTTATTAGTATGAATCTTATTGTTGTTGTTATTATTATTATTATTATTGAGAAAGACTGGCTGTCTGTCAGGGGTGTTTTGATTGTGCTTCTGCTGCATTAAGGCAGAAGAGGGTTGGACTAGATGGCCCTTGGGGTCTCCTCAGACTTATTAGTATGAATCTTATTGTTGTTGTTGTTATTATTATTATTATTATTATTATTATTATTGAGAAAGGTTGGCTGTCTGTCAGGGGTGTTTTGATTGTGCTTCTGCTGCATTAAGGCAGAAAGGGGTTGGACTAGATGGCCCTTGGGGTCTCTTCCAACTATTTATTCGTATTAACGTTGTTGTTGTTGTTGTTGAGGCTGGGTGGCCATCTGTCAGGGGTGCTTTGATTGTGGATTTGATGCATGAAAGCAAAAGGGGGTTGGACTAAATGGCCTAAGGGATATCTTCCAACTATTTATTAGTATTAATGTTATTATTATTATTGATGTTGTTGTTATTGTTATTACTGAGGCTGGGTGGTCATCTGTCAGGGGTGTTTTGATTGTACTTTCCCTGTATTAAGGCAGAATGAAGGGTGTTGGACTAGATGGCCTTTAGAGCTCCCTTCCAACTCTATTATTATTATTATTATTATTATTATTCATTATTATTCATGTTAATATTAAGGCTGGATGGCCATCTGTCAGGGGTGCTTTGATTGTACTTTCCCTCCATGAAGGCAGAATGAAAGGGGTTGGACTAGATGGTCTTTAGAGCTCCCTTCCAACATTATTATTATTATTATTATTATTATTATTATTATTATTATTCATGTTAATATTAAGGCTGGATGGCCATCTGTCAGGGGTGCTTTGATTTTGCTTTCCCTACATGATGGCAAAATGAAGGGGGTTGGACTAAATGGCCTTTAGAGGTCCCTCCCAACTTTAGGATTCTGTGAAAGAGATCTTCGTCGACCACAATCCAATAGTGTGATGCTGCAGCTGAAAAGGCCAATGCCATTTTAGGCTGCGTCAATAGGAGAAGCCTGAGAGAAGGCAAAAGGGAACTGATAATGACACTTTACCTCGGCTAGTTTTTTAATTGCTTTAAATGAGTATTATTTATTGCAACTGTTTATTTTAACTTATTGCCAGCATGATGTAAAGGACCCAGAGTGTAAATGAAATTCAAGGAGAAAGAGCAACTGTAATGTTCAATGTAAGGTACAATGTCCCTCTCATAGGAACCTGCATGTCAGAAGCATTTGAATTAAAATTACCATATTGAAGTCAAATCTGATTTTTTTAAAATTTTATTTGGTGTGCATTGGAAGAGGGGTGGTCTTATACGGCGAGTATATCCCAAACTCTATATTTTAACTGGAAAAGTTGGGGGTCGTCTTATACGCCCAGTCGTCTTATATGCCGGAATATACGGTATTTATCATATCAAGAGCGAACCAAGAATACAGTGCAATGTATTTTTAAAAACACAAAGTTTAAAATTTTGGCATTATATTGAATGTCCTTTGACCAGTAGCTGGCCACTTGGAATGCCTTTGGTGTTGCTATAAAGAGGTCCTCCTTTGTGCATGTGGCAGGGCTCAGATTGCATTGTGGTTTGCTCTTCTCCACATTCACATGTTGTGGACTTCATTTTGTGGCCCCATTTCTTAAGGTTGGCACTGCATCTTGTGGTGCCAGAGTGCAGTCTGCTCAGTGCCTTCCAAGTCATCCAGTCTTCTGTGTGCCCAGGAGGGAGTCTCTCATTTGGTGTCAGCCATGGGCTGAAGTGCTGGGTTTTAGCCTGCCACTTTTGGACTCTCACTTGCTGAGGTGTTCCTGCAAGTATCTCTGTAGATCTCAGAAAGCTCGCAGAAATACCTCAAGAAGCAAGAGTCCAAAAGTGGCAGGCTAAAACCCGGAACTTCAACCCATGGCTGATACCAAACTCCTCTGAGATTATATGACTGAAAATACAGGGATAAGGGATTAATCTTTATCCTGATTGATGTTTCTGGCTAATTTTCTGAGTGTTTGACCATTAGTCATGGAGGCTCATGTTCTTGGGAAATGAAATTCAAAACCTCTGAAGGACATACATCCATGCCCATAGTTAAGGGGGCGGTTTAGGGGTTCAAACCACCCCCAAAAATTTTAAGGTAAAACAAAATCCTGGTTTACTTATGAATTTTAACTGGTTAACTAAATCCCTTTGCCAAGTATATGAGAAGCAAAAAATAGAGTCCTTCCAGAACTACAAGCACTATCTCAACCAAATTTTGATTATTCACACTATCATTACCTACCTTTCTACCAGTTTACATTGAAATAGCAACAATAGCTGATACAGTGGAAGCGATCATAGTGGAAGTGATCATAGTGGAAGCTGCCAACATGTGGTAGCTGGCAGGCATAGCCTAAGGCACAGAATGGGACAGGATAGATGATTTGACCTGGATGTGCAAAATCCACAGACTCCATTGCTAGGATATTTATTTCTTGTGGATAAGAAGAGGCATCTAAGATTTGAACACAAATGGTTCAGTACATTTCCCCAGTTAGCCTACTAATTGCATGCACAAAGTGTGCTCTGTAAGTACTTTGCGGTGTTTGGAGGAGAAGTTGGGAGTAAAGGTGGCCATCAGCAGCTTGGTGTATTGGTTGCTGAACCATTTGTGAGATGCAAAAATGCAATATAAGTCTTCACTGGACATCCAAAAACAGAGTACCATCAGAACAACTTGTGCTTGCCTGAAAACGTCTTGCTAATTCACAGTGGGAAAACATCATGATGTAACCCTGTCATCACAACAGAGGAAATAATAAAGCAGAAGAAAACAGAAAGAAACTTCTGCCAGTTGTGGAAATGATTGTCCTTTGTAGCCAACAAGAACTGACTTAAAGAGGGAGCAATGATTCAGGACCTATTACCTATGAAGAACCTTTGCATAATGATGGTAATTTTAGGGCCTTGTTGAGATCCTGTGCCAGATCAGGAGACACTGGCTTGAAAAGTCAACTCAGGAAAAAAAAGGTTTCAACCCCTCCCAATTTTCTTTTCTTGCTATGGGCCTGCATACATCATACCTTGTATTCCAGTCCATATTCAGTTTTGCAGAGAATCAACCTTTTGAAACTAAGCAATAGCAAGATGGCTACCAAAATTAGTTTTGCTCAATTGTTGTGACCTCCCCTGTACAGTGTATATCATACAAAGTTAGTGTAGCTGTAACCTTCATGCTGATGGAAATCTCATTGGGAAAGTGAACACACACAACAATATAGTTGGTCCAACACATTTGCAAGTGGACTTTTGAAGATTTGAGTTTTCATGGGCTGGATTAAAAATGTTCTTTCTAAGAATATCAGTCTTCCAATGGGACTCTTGATCATGCTTGAAGACTTGTGCATTTATAGTGAGAACATCTCTCTAGGTCCTCCAGTACAAGTGTATGGTCAGCTTTCAGCAGAAGTTTACCATAGTCTCATGCTGGAAGTCTGAAAAATTCCTACAATGATGTTCTCCCAGGTTAAAAAATAGCAATTTATTTCTTGCTTAGTTTTGAATATACCTCACAACCTCTGAGGATGCCTGTCATAGATGTGAGTGAAACGTCAGGAAAGAATGCTTCTGGAACATGGCCATAAAACCTGGAAAATTCACAGCAACCCAATTTCTTTCTTCACAGTTTTTCACTATCATGGGGCTCTTGTGTCCCAAACTCTAGTGCAGTATTTCTAAATCTGGGGGTCAGGACCCCTGGGGGGTGGTAGCAGAGGTGTGTCAGGTGGGTTGCCAAAGACAATCAGAAAACACAGTATCTTTGTTGGTCATGGGGGTTCTGTGTGGGAAGTTTGGCCTAATTCTATTGTTGTGAAGGTCAAAAGAGGAGGAGAGGGAGCAGAAAATGTAGCTGAAAATAAGAAATACAGAAATAATATTTTCAACAGCAACATTTTCAGTGTGCACACACAATATTTCCATTTTACATGACCTGCTCCTTTATTATTGATGCAATTACAGAATACCTTATATGTACCCAATGGAACATAATGCACCATCTCTGGTGAATCAGACAGAATGAGGCTACCATAAACAATAATTATCTGAACTGGTATTGTGTGTTTTGTTTTAGAGTTATATAAGCACAAATTCGCTGGGATCACATCTTACGTAGAGTTGACCTGGAGGTTGTTTGTCAGTCATGACTTTGTCTTGCAAATATGTTGGTTTCCATGGAGAAATTCTGGAGTCTCTCTATATTTTTTTACTTCTTTGTACAATAACACACCTTTGAAATGAGGATTAGATGATTCAGAGCAGGAAATAAAGCAGCAGAACAGCACCTAGGTCAAGCAGAACTAATGTAAAATAAGAAGTTCACCTGCTTAACATTGCTTTCTTGGAGAGCTTGGGAAAAGTTACTTTTTGGAGAATAACTCCCGGATTCTCCAAACCTACATGTTTATTAAAGTCTAAAAAGTAACTTTAGAAGTTCTATTTCTTTATGTGTGCCATATTGTAGCTAGAAATGAATAAAGGTTCGAATTGCCTTTTTATTTACTACTGTGAATGTGAAGACCTTTGGGGAGTCCTCCTGGCTGTATGTTATTATCACATCATCTGTTAGTTACATTGCACAGAAAGATTGTGCCAAATCTAAAGTCATTTGGTGGTCTTTATGAATAAATGTGCACCTACAATGTAGAATTAATGCAAGTTGACACCTCTTTAATTGCACTACTAAATGCCATGGAATCATGGGAGCTGTAGTTTTGCAATATCTTTAGACTTTTCTGTCAAAAAGCGCTGGGGCCTCAGCAAACAACTCTCATGATTACATAGCATTGAGCCAATGCAGTTAAAGTGGAATCAACCTGCATTAGTTCTACAGTGCAGATGAACCCAAAGTAAGAATTTAAATCTAGACTTCGAATTTGGACTCTAATCTCTACATCTGTACCAGGCGTGGCATTTGCTCCCTCTGTACCAAGTGCTTGGTTTGGGTATGATGTGTCCTTACTTGGGAAGGAGTGGAGCCCCCGGTGGCACAGTGGGTTAAAGCCCTGTGCCGGCAGGACTGAAGACCGAAAGGTCGCAGGTTCAAATCCGGGGAGAGGCAGATGAGCTCCCTCTATCAGCTCCAGCTCCTCATGTGGGGACATGAGAGAAGCCTCCCACAAGGATGATAAAAACATCAAAATCATCCAGGCATCCCCTGGGCAACGTCCTTGCAGACGGTCAATTCTCTCACACCAGGAGTCACTCCTGACACGAAAAAAAAAAACTTGGGAAGTAGACATCCCTTGCAGCTGATTTTCAGGTACCTTGGGAAAAGATTACCTTTCAGAGATTCTCAGCTCTCAGAATCTGCAACCAAAATCTGAAAGTTGTGAGCCAAAAAAGTAAAACTCTGGTAATTCAGAGAGAAGAGATGCAAGGTTTGCCAAATTGAAAATCTCTGGTTCTGTAAAGCAAGGTGAGAAAGATTATGCAAGGCTATATTCACATACAAATCTTATTATGCATTTTGCAAATTGTAAATGCTTGCAGCATTGATTCAAAAGTAATATGGGTTTCATATCAAGGGTGTGACTATGCCAGGATTGCGTTGTTTTTTAGAATCACCCTGGAGGGTGTCCTGTCCTGCTACGCAAGAGGCAAGGCACACCCTTAGTACTATTTATAAAAACTGCAAATCAGGCTTTTAACCGTGACAGGCAGGTCAGAAATAGGATCCCTTCCAGTCCACGTAAGTAAAGTTTTGCTCTATAGAGTTAAGGAAGGGCAGATAGCAGAACAGAAATATTTGGGTTTAAATGTATATATACATAAAAATGAAGCCAAGAAATTTGTATGTTTGTGTATTTAGTTCCCTACTGATTGAATAGTAGAAAGAAAGACCAAGCAAGTAAGCAGGCAAACAACCAGCTTGGGCTAAAATGTGAATGAAAACTACTTTAACATCAAAATGTAATTGCAGTGTTATTAAAAATCCTGTGGTCCTCTCTCTTCCAATACTTACCATGATGTAATGGTTTGAGCATAAGTCTGACCAAAAACCTATGATAGGTTCACCTTAAGGTCACCACCATAAGTTGGAAATGATTTGATGGCATACAATAACAACATACAACTGGTTTCCAGCATTTCAAGGACAGGAAACTGAAGCAAGTTTGCTGAATGCTGACCTGGGGAATTTCATAATCTTGGTTTAGAAGTCCTGCATTCATATAAACTATATGTGACTATTCTACAGGTATCCATTTAGGAGAGACTAAAACTGCAGCCCATCACGGTGTGGTAGAGAAGATCTATGAGGCTGAATCAAAACACCTTTCTTCCTAAGGCAAAGGGTAAGTTGATGGCTTTTCTGTATTCAAATGTGAGCTGAACTTCATTCAGTGCTTGCAATGGGATAGAGTCTTTCATCACATTAAGAAGATGCAGGGTGAGCTGTTGTGTCACAAATAGTTCTGTCTCACTATAGAGAACAATGGCAAGGGTGCTCTGGAAGAATGGTTGTCGGGACTGTCACTGCTGTCCCCAAACACTGGCCACCAGAGGTTGTTGTAAGAGCCTGCCTAATGGAAGAACTAGCACTGATGTGCAAGTGGATGTCTGGGTAACATTTTTTTGCAATAAATTCACAAGGATTTCCGCTTTCAAGTGTTTTATAATAACAGCCAAAAAAAAAAAAAGGAGTATAGTCAGCCCACCTCATTTGTGGTGTAACTTTTGTAGCTTTGATTATTTGCAAATTTGATTAATATGTTCTCCCTGGAAATCTCCAAGTTTTCCAGCATGATCCAGTGCTCAGAAGTTGGCCAGTTGCCTTCTGGGAGAACCTAGAGATTCCTAGAGAGGTTTTCTCTCAGATTTTGAAAAAAAGATTTTTTAAATCCACAGTTTTTCCATCTTTGCGGGGTCCTGAACCCTATCTTTGCAAAAGTGTAGGGCCTATTGTATCTCTGAAATTGAGACATTTTGCAGATTGGATTTTTATGTAGATGAAGTGTCATCTGTATTAAGTTCTGGTATTCAAAATAAAATGCTGGGCTCAGCATTTTATTCTATGGGTATGTGTGTGTATTTACACAGAGATCCAGCTGGTGAATCCCAAGCTTGCAGTGAAAAAAAAAAAATTCCACAAATCTGATGTTTGCTTACTGTTTATCCATCACTTTTCATCAGGTCTAGCAGGCACTTGCCGCTGTAGCCACTAGTGCTGAATACTACTTTAGCTCAGATGCAAGTTTTTAGAAAATTAAATCAATCAAGTGAAATGATTTTGTTAGCTAGATCCCCTTTCAGTGGGATCCAGACCTGGTGATAAAGCCAATGATCCTACATTGAGGAGAGGGAAAGTAAAATAACAATTGTCTAAGACGGCCCCCCCGGTGGCGCAGTGGGTTAAAGCGCTGAGCTGCTGAGCTTGTTGACCAAAAGGTCGCAGGTTCGATTCCAGGGAGCGGCGTGAGCTTCCGCTGTCAGCCCTAGCTTCTGCCAACCTAGCAGTTCGAAAACATGCAAATGTGAGTAGATCAATAGGTACTGCTCCGGTGGGAAGGTAACGGCGCTCCATGCAGTCATGCCGGCCACATGACCTTGGAGGTGTCTACGGACAATGCTGGCTCTTCGGCTTAGAAATGGAGATGAGCACCACACCCCAGAGTCAGACATGACTGGACTTAATGTCAGGGGACAACCTTTACCTAAGGCAACCTTATTAATGAATTGCAATCCCAAGTGCCCATCCACATCCGTGAGGACAATGCATGATAGACACCCATGCACAATACATAAGTACCTCTTTGTGTGATGAACAATGTGCATCTATGCTACATGCAGAATCCTACTTCTTCAGCCTTGAACATAGCTTTAACACATTGTTTCTGCAGGGAAGAACCCAATTATGCATAAGACACCAATAGGATTCTAGGCAGTGTAAACTTTGTATCTGTTTTAGTGTATTTTGTTTAGCTTTTTCAAAATACTTTTTATTGATATAGTAAAAATAAAACATAGCACATATATAAAATCATACTCATAGGGTTGGAAAAGACCTCGTGGGCCATCCAGTCTAACCCCTGCCAAGAAGCAGGAAAATCACGTTTACACCCCCCCCCCCCCCCCCGCCACTGCCGACAGATGGTCATCCAGCCTCTGTTTAAAAGCCTCCAAAGAAAGAGCTTCCACCACAGTCCGAGGCAAAGGGTTGCACTGCTGAACAGCTCTCACAGTTAGAAAGTTCTTCCTAATGATGCATAACCCAATGAAACAACGTAAGATATCACAAAATGGTTATATTTTTCAGCTATGAACACAAAACACATAGGTACATGGAAAAATTAAGTTGATGTCCAACTTTCTTATTATTGGTTCACATGTAATATTAACTATTCTTCCTAATATGCCTACAGAAAAATACTATAAATTTCTACTTATAATCTAAAGAAAAATTCTCAAACCCCGCCAGTCTTTTCTCTTCTCTCCAACAGGAGTTTCATCTGTAGGGAATCTTCATCTTCATGAGACACCAACAGGATTCTAGCTGGTGCAAACTTGGTTTTCGTTTTTTAAAGCCTCGAAGCAACCTTTTTATGACCAAGAAATTTCTGTATTTACAGGTTGCATTCCAGTCATGCAGTTTGTGGCTGAGAAAAAAGAGGCTTTTGTTGTCACTCGAGAAATCCATGCAGGCCGAAAGAAGATCCCCTTGGGATGTATAGGCTGCTTTCTAGAGGATAAGCACAGCATGGGTCGCATTGTTGACCTGAAATCAAGGCCTGTCATAACCCTGATGAGTAGTCACATCAAACCACTCAGCTGTCATGAAGCTGGACTCTTACTCACTGTTGAGAGTCCACAAAAAAGGCATGACCTGCTTTCCAATGAGCGGCTCTTCACCGCTATTTGCTGCCTGCAAATCCATGATGTGGTGCGTGTGAGATACAATAGAGTGGTGACAGTCGGCATTGTAAGAAGCTTCTGGGAACAGTACAGGAAGCCTGGCAGTGGAGAGCTGAAGATGCTCCTTATTGAGGTGGAGCTGCTGGTGAGGCCACAGCTGGTTTAACAATATTCTGGATGCTGTCCTGATATACTTGTAGTATATTGTACCATATACATGTCTATTCAGAAACAAATCCCATCATCTTCAATACAGTTTATGCCCAAGAAATAGGAGATAGCTCCATAGATTTAATGACTAATTAATGCAGAGCACAAGCCTTGGAATTTCTTACTCCTGCCCGCCCTAAATCTCTGCATCTTACCCTGGGACCAAATTCAAATTTGAGAAAGGTCCCGAAGACCACATTTCCTCAGTGAGTGAAGATAAGGGCACTGGGTAGGGCCAAAGCCAAGACAGAGCAATATACAGTTCTTACTAATGTACCGCTGGTTGTTTTTATCACTGAGGATACAATGCATAGGTCAGTGTTGTGTACACCTTTGAAGACGGTTTGGAAACTGCAGTTAGTGCAAAGGTCAGCTGCCAAATTACTAACTGGGGCTAGCTATGGGGAACATATTATGCCCCTACTAAAACAGCTTCACTGGCTTCTGACTAGTTTCCAGACTCAATTCAAGGTGCAGGTTATTACCTTCAATGCCCTATAAACTTCGAATCCAACCTATCTTCAAGATTGCATATCATTCTATGAATTGACCTGGACTTTGAGATCAGCAGGGGAGGCTCTCGGTCCCACCACCGTCTCAAGCATAGTTGGTGGGGATGAGAGATAGGGTCTTCTCTGTGGTTGTGCCCCAGCTCTGGAATACCCTCTCAAAAGAGATTAGGTTAGCCTCCACCCTTTAATCCTTTTGATCCAGCCAGGCCCATAGCCAGGATTTTGATTCGGGGGGGGGGGGGGGGCTCAGAGTGAAAGAGGGTCTACCCTAGCAAACCTTTTGTATCGTTACCCCAATACCCCCATGCATATGGGATATATTGAGCATGGTGATCAGATCATGATATGAATAAACATAACAGTTGAAATAATGTACCAGTAAGGCCTTCTCGCAGACCACCATGAGAATTTCGGGGGGGGGGGGCTGAAGCCCCTCAAGCCCCCCGCCCCCCAGCTACATGCCTGGATCCAGCCTAAAAACTTGGATTTTTAAAGTAGGCTTTTAGCGTCCTGGAGCCTGAAATGGGGCCATATGAGATAGACACTCTGGCACTTTAGTAGTGAATCGATGGCAGCTAGTTTTAACTAAAGATTGTTTGTGTTTTTAAAATTATGTTATTTTATTTTTATATGAGTTCATAGTAATTGTTTTTATAATTTTTATGTGATACTGTTTTATACTCATGTACTGTTTATGTTATGCTGCACCTCGGGGTGCCTTGTAAGCCGCCCCAAGTCCCTTTTGGAAGGTGGTGGTGGTAATAATAATAATAATAATAATAATAATAATAATAATAATATCTATTGAGGAGAGAGCACCAGTACAACAGCCTTCTGGACAGCAAAACACAGTTCATTTGTATGTGTGAAGAATTGTAGCTGCTTCATATCTGCAAACCTTTTTTTTTTTGTAAATCATGATCACCATTATAATTTTGTAATATAATTTGGAAAAGTAGAATTGCTTCTAAGCTTAGTCAGCATTATCATGCAGCAACAAGAGTATTTTAAAGAATTAATTGCAGAAAATGCCAGCAATAATCCTTTTTTTCTCTGTTTCTCAAACTGCATCAGGATTCAGGGATTATTTCCCTCCGTGACCGCTTTTCTAAGAGACTGAAGGTTGATGCAAGCAAGATCATTGCTGTTAGCTCCAATGTTACATATTCCATTGGATGCCAAGAGATCAGCCAAGAGTTTTACAAGAAAGGTGAGAGCCAGTAAGGTGTGTGAGTAGAGGGCTGTTATTTTCAATTTTTATAATATTTACAACAGAAATCTTCCATCTGTTGTCTTAGATAACTGATTAGTTCTGCAGCTAGCAAGGTCGTCAATTAATAAACTTTTCCTTTGTGCTAATGCAACTTTAGCAGGCCAGAAATGGCTGTTCATACAATGCAAGGAACTCTCACAAATCTCTTCCAGTAACAGAGAATGGTATGATGTAACCATAGGACTGCATGCCAGTATATTGCCCTCTGTAATAAAAGTCATTTCTTCATTTAAGTAAGTTTCTTGGGGCTTTTTCTAGCTTTACGACTCATATTAACTGCTATGGCAATATTTGGTGGAATTCTGGGATATGTAATTTAGGGAAGGATATTTAGAAAAGCAAGATGAAGGCAAATCCAATCCCCTTCTGAACAAATCTTGCCAAGAAACCCCATGATAGGCTTGCCATAAATCATAAATGATTTGAAGGCCCACAACAACAATTTAGAAAGGGCTGATGAAGGAACCCACTGCCTGATGCATTTACAAATTATTCTTCCAGGGGACAATCACTTGAACCAACACTTGGCAGAAGACAGTGCTGCAGTCCTCTGGGAACAGGAAGTCCTCAAGAAGATGGAAGGCACTATGAGGGGCATCCAAGGGCACAGCAACTCCTGCTACCTAGACACAACTCTTTTCAGGTGCGCCTAATGTCACCTGAAGATGGGGCCTAGTTCTGTAATCTCTTTTTTATTACACACATTTTCTCTCCCACCTAATTAAAAATGGCCAACTGGACAAGGGTAGTAGAAGTCCTCTGGAGGATGTTATTATCTGAAGGCAACCCATTGGCTAGACCAGCTGTGACCAGCTTATAGCAGTCTGTGGTTGTCATTTTAAACTTCACTGCAGTTATGAACATACTTCATATTTCAGCTGATAGGTTTATTGTGTGTTATGTGTTTGTTCCATTGCAGTTTATTCGGTTTCTCCTCTGCCTTGGATGCCATCCTGTATTCTACCGAGGTGGATGACAAAACAGCACAGCAAATTCTGAGAGAGCAGATTGTGCAGCCTTTGAGACGGTGAGTTTCATAACATTTCTCTGTGGCCCTAACTTGTATGACAGGATTTGGTTTTCATGTTTTCAATATTATGTATTACTTACAAGCTCAATAATATGGCTATTGATTGACAGTGGAAAACCTTTCATAGGGAACAACACAATATCTTATTCAAAGCATGGGAACATTTGTTGTTTTGGGCTACTGTGTCATGAATGACTTTTCAATAACTTTGAAGCATAGGTTCTTTTTATTGCAATTTCCAGTGTGAGAAGGTATATCAGATTACAGAAAACATTTAGACATAGAATGACATTAGACATACAGACATACAGATTCTATGCAACTACATTGGATTCACAATTACATTGGTTAACAAACAAACATAGGGGAATTACATTTTCAGTCAGCATTCACACACATGTACACACATTCATCCACATGCATTCAAATGTTACCATATCCTTTTCTCCCTCCTTGGAGAAGCACCTGTAAGGCCAGACCTTGTTTTCCTGCAGCCTGCCAATGCATAGTTCCAAAACTTCCATAACGCCAAAACTTCAAAACGCTGAAAAGGTCCATTGGTTGGTTGGTTTGTTTGGTTGCATGCTGCAAGTCATTTCTGTTCGATTCGGGTATGAGAGAATCAGCTGTCTACAAAGATGTTGCCCAGGGGACGCCTGGATGTCTTGCAATCCTGTGGGGTGATTTGCCAGAGATTAGCAAGAGTTCCTGAACTCCAGTGGAAAATTTTCAGAGAGGATTTTTGTAATGCAAAAAACTACCTGTTTTCTCAGCCTATTCTTCCAGTTCTGCAAGGCATGTACTTGCAGTCATCCCCAAACACTGCACTCTTTATTCTTCCTCTAACTAAATCCCAAACTGTGAGCAAGTAGGAATGACCTGTACTCCTAGTTGATCTGGATTATCTACTACCTGGCATTCCCTGTACCTTACTTATTAACCATGCATGGGTATCACACAACTAATATAAATCTCTTGAATCTTCCCAGGCATGGCTATGTGGAAGCCAACAAAGTAATGAACTTGAGGAAATTGCTGAGGTGCGACAGTTTCATTACAGAAGAAAAAGGTGAGTGATAGTGGCATGATACTGTATTTAGCAAGAGACAGATCTGTCAAGCTTGATCTCCTAGATTCTTTTCCAAACTAGCACTGTTTACCCCCCTGCTACCAATCTCATTCTATCTTGGTCAAAACTAGGAAAATATATTGCTTGGTACTGTAGCTCCCATAGTCACTAAGCCAGCATAATCAATATACATATGTTTGTACATTTTTGTGCATGTCTATTTTTCAAATTTGGGGATGTATTGGATTTTATTGGCATTTTCCAAGATTATTGAGCATAGTTTTCTTATGTGGAGCATACCGCAAATTGAGATACCTGGTGCAAATTGTCAGTCAAAATCTTTGGTTTTACACCAGAGTGCAAATCTCTGAGAAAACTAATTTCTCGCCAGTGGTGTTATGGTCGTTGCATCATATGCAGTTACTTCTCTACTTTTCCTTAAAAATACAGATCCATTGTGCTAATACTTTAAAATATCTGGAGAATATATCCACAGCAAAGGAGTAGGCAGATGATATTATGCTCTTCTAATGGCTGTTCTGGTTTATAGACCCAGAAGAATTCCTGAATGTCCTTCTAGGAGAAGTCTTGGCTGTAGAACCCTTGCTCAAAATCAGGTAAGAGTCCATCTTGGTAAGGGATGCTAACATATGAGAATGGTGAATTCTGGTACTCAATTCTGCTACTTGTGATAAAGCTCAGCGCAGGCTGAGAAATGTAGCCAAGAGGGGAGTGCAAGAGGGGAGTCTAGCTGCTGTAATTAGAATAAATCCAATTTATGGCAACCCACTAGAAACAAGAGTATATGTGTCAGTCAGTTGGTAATACAACTCATGGTTGCCCAGTGTCAGCGAAAAGCCAACCCAAGCCCTGGAACCCACAAATTGGCCTTAATTAGCAAAATGAGCAATGTGTGACTCAGGTTGCCTGTTAACTTATGGCAAATCCATGAATTGCATAATGTTTTCTTACACAAGGAATACTCTGAAGTGGTTTTGCCAGTTCCTTCTTGTTGCTAGTCTCCTATCTAAATGCTATCCAGGGCTGACACTGCTTTGCGTCCTTGATCAGCTGAAATCAGCAGCCTTTAGAATATTTAGGTGGGTAAAATATATGTTTTTGAACAACTTTCCCATTGCTTTTCCCCTGGAAAAAATGTAGAGCAGACAATGAAGTCCTCAAGTATAATTGCTATCAGATCCTTGCAGAGAACAATTCAACGGTTAAAGTACCTACTGTGCAGCAACTCCTGGAGCAGTCTCTACTCTCCTATGGTCTTCATCTGAATGAGGTACACTGTGGGCTGCAGACAAAATTGTGCATATTTGTGCTTGAGATTATCCCTTCCTGATTTGAGTGAAATGCCCTCTTTCTGAGGATGCATCTAAACTATAGAATTAATGCAGTTTGATAGCAGTTTAACTTTCATAGATCGTTATGAAATCCTGGGATTTGTACTTTGGTGAGGCACCAGTCCCCTTTGGTAGTGTAGACTAAAGACCTGGTAAAACTTCAGCTCCCATAACATAGGTAGTTAAACTGGTCTCAAACTGCATTAATTCTATAGTGTATGTGCACTCTCTGTCCTTTTTAGTCCATTTTCCCTAGAGCTCAAGGAAGATGCTGTGCTAGAAAGGTATGCTGTGGGAAAATAGAGACATGGGCCAGGGAGACTTACAGAGATTCCTCATGTTGCAAATAAACAGAGCTTGGAAAAAATTATTTGTGGATTTGCTGTTCAGATTTCCTCTGAGAGATTCTGTTTGATGTAGCCTGGGAATGATGACTACTCCTAAGCTTCAAGAACAGTATGTAATTGTGTTTTGTTGTAACATTCAAAATACTTTATGTTTCATTTTATTTGATCTGATGATACTCCTTTGGCTGTCATTAATCCCAACTCACATACAGAAAACTGAAGCTCAAATATAATGGTTTGTCTGTGAATATTCTGTAGGTGACTTCCTATTTGAACACAAATCTCTGTGTTATTATTATTTATAGCTCTAGGGGTAATGATATAGATGATGTTGGACTTCAAATTCTCATAGGCCCCAACAAGCAAATAGTATGGGAAGATGGGAGGTACAGTCAAACAGATAAAATAAACTAAGGTCCATAGAAATCCAAAATTTTTCAAACTAGATATTTTTGTTTTTGATGTTTTAAACATCTCAAAACACAAATAACTACATTCAAGGCAGGAACTTCTTTTTATATTCTGTCCTGAGCCAGCTGCTATATCATGCCTAAAACACTTTTTAAAAGAGATCCTTCTATTCCAGATTCCTTCATGCTTCATCCTACAGATGCCTAGGTTTGGAAAGACATATAAGAAGTTTTCACTGGTGTATCCTTCTCTGCAGCTTGACCTCACAGACTTGGTAAAGCAAGGTAAAGAAGCCCAAAACTAGTTAAATTTTTGATGTTGTTCATGTCTGAAAATTTATAATGGTTAGTATGACTGACCATTTTACAAATATAGAAGATTTCCCTGGGTGTTTTGGAAGAGAGAATAAAGTAACATGCAGGTTAACCTTTTGGAAGTGATATCTATGGATTTGCAACACAGAATGAAATGTTTGCTCAGCAGCAAACAATAGTATATCCTCCTTTCCCAACTAGATGCTCTCCAAATATTAGACTTCAGCTTCTGCCATATACAGCAGAATAGGTATGCCATTTACACTGGGCATGGCTGGGAAGTGCCTGATCAGAGAAGGCTGTCAGGTGAGTATTTAGTCTCACTTTCAAGTATGGAAGCTGTAGAGTACTGGGCCTCTGTCACTAGGTAGATATTTTAGAATCATTTTTAGCATCACAATATCTATCCAGTGATGTGAAAGAACTAATTTACAGGCAATCCTCAAGTTACAAACAAGATAGGTTCTCTAGGTTGGCGCTTAAGTTGGATGTGTATGTAAGTCAAAATAGATACATTTTAAAGTGTAACTCGGTCTCTCTCTCTCTATATATATACACACACATACACGTTTTGGATAACACAGGGAAAATTTTACAACATATTTTATAGCTGCAGTATCTATATCAGTGCTTGGTACAGAAAGAACCCTTGGAGGAGAACTATATCTGGTTCTGGAATGAGACATGTTTCCATTTTTAAGGAAGGACCTAATAATTCTAAATTCTGGTTTTATGATTCTAGCTTCTCCTGTGTGTTGTGTGTGTGGTGGGCAGACTTTGTATGGATGTTCATGGTGCCAGCCTGACACCCGCCTGCACCCAGAATACATGAAATTCTTTGGGAACATTTCTAAGGTAGGAGGAAGGAAATAATGTCAGTGGGACTAGAGAAGAAAAAATTGCTACCAGACCTCGGGGGGGGGGGGGGGGGGCAGTTTAATATTTTCTTGAAGTGTTAATCTATATATTTGGTGAGCTGAAGCTACCAAATTGATTGATAGCTGTCTTAGCGAATCTGCAGCATAGGTGTTCTGATTGCTGATACTTTAACAGCAGCAATAAAAACTAGAACAACTTATTGAGTCTCTACTATGACTGGACACACTGACTGCTAATCTCTTAGCCTCTATTGCTTACCTGTGAAATAGCAATATTAGTTCACTGGCATTCCCCTCTGCCCCCCCAATGTGCAATGAGAAGTTGTGAGAGAAATAAGGTTGAACACTGTGAAAGCCATCCACTGCATGGTTATCAGCTCCTCCCAGTAGACTCAAATCAAAGAAAAGCTTCATGAGAACCACCACTCCTCTTAACGTTACCCCAGCAATAACAAGAGTATCTCTCTGGGCAGCTAAACCAGGAAATCCCAAATTGCTGGCCCCCCATGAGGGTCTGCCTCCAGGGGCAAATCAAGAATGAGCAACTTGGAAGTTCCTGAACAGACTCAGAAGTGGAATATGCAGATGAAAAAACAACCTGGCAAAATGGCACTACCTAGAATAATGCTTCTCAACTTGTGGGTACCAATATGTTTTTGGTCTTCAACTCCCAGAAATCCTAACAGGTGGTAAACTGGCTGTGATTTCTGGGAATTGTAGGCCAGAATACCTGGAGACCCACAGGTTGAGAAACACTGGCCTAGAAGAAGCCTCCACCTTGTGCGACTGTGGAGCAGAACAAACAACTCCGCATCTGTATGCTTGTCCACAATGCCCTGCCTCATGCACAGAGGAAGAATTGTTTAAAGCTACAGACAATGCAGTCACTGTTGCCCTTTTTTGGTCAAAAATTATTTAGCCACTTGTGCTCCTTCTATTTTTATCAGTTTTATACTTATTTATACAATGCCTTTGACACAAAATAAATAAAAGTTTGTTGCTTTTGATAAATTTTCCATACATCTTTCTAGACACATTGAGTCTGCAGTAGAATCCCTGTTCCTAATAACTTAAGCATAGTTTTCAATGCATGGTTTGGGGATGCAGTAAACAAATAACACCAACCCTCCCACACCACCTCTCTCTAATTAATGAGTATCATGTTTCTAATAAAGAAAGGAAGACAGTAGACTTCACAAGCCCATGGGCTGCCCAGGGCTTGTGGGGAATTTATCAAATCCTCAGCTATTGTCCTGGCTTTCTTTTCTTTTGGAAAGGTGACAAATTGACTTCAATTGGCAGTGAAGGCCTTTTCACACAGCTTCATAATTTGCATATCCTCCTACCTTCCTGGCAACATAATGACATGAGCGTACAGAAACCACCCAATTTTTACTGCTGGGAAACTTAAATTATATCTAAACAGATCAGCTTTCCAGAATCTAAATTGGGCACAGAACATTCAGATTATCTCAGACAAAAACACATGGCTCCTGGACAAGGATTTCCAGTTACAGTGGAAAGGCAGCCATAGGAATTTGTAAAGACCAAAAGAGGCTGACACTCCCAGAGCTGGCCAGCATGGATTGGAAGTGATAATGCTTCACTTAAATTCACAAAATCAGAGGAGTTGGACTATATTCAGTATTTTAGTAATGGAAACACTGTTAAGAGGTGCCAGTGTTCTGTTAACAGAATTTGAACAAAGAGCAGAAGGAACACTGAGCTCAATGTCACTGTGCTAAGCATCGTCTGAAACAATCAGAATTAAACTCTTTCTTCTTTAAACATAATTACTGTATCTAGATATTTCAATGTTTAGTATTGTCAATTGAACAAACAAATTTCAAAGCAACTGATTAGAAATCAACAGGCTAAAATAATGTATGAAAATCAAGCTTGAGCGAAGAGACAAGTTTTGACTTGCAATTGAATTGAGAGTAGCATCAGCACAAACCAGGCCTCCAAACTCAAGCCATTCTTCAGGGAGTTTGACACCTGTTCACAGTTGAAAACAGTTTCCACAAGTGGTAGAGCTTTCTTCAATGGGCATGACAGCACTGGATAAAACTCGAAGATTTTGGTATGTTCTATTGTGAGGATTAGGATTGTAATCACTGTTTATTTCATCCAGGCACATTCTCCTTGGACCAGACTGAAGTGTTCCGGTAAAGAACTGAAATCCAACAGCCCCTCTGCTAAGCAGTCCACATTGGATTTGTTTGCAGTTCTCTGCATTGAGAAGAGCCATTATGTAGCTTTTGTAAGATATGGCCCTTCTCAAGCATCCTGGCTTTTCTTTGACAGCATGGCTGGCACACTGAGTAAGAAAAACTTTTGGTACTTATTTCTGCAGGTTTTTTTTTTAATGAAATGCATTACAAAACTGAATGTAAAAGACAAACAATGTGCCAAAGATGTTATTTTCAAAATTAGCCATCAGAGAGTATCAACTGGAAAATTTAGGATGCCAAGATGTGTGCCTATTTGGACTACATAATTCTTTTGTGAGCTACAAAATAAACCAGATAGCATACTTCAGTAATACATGAACACAACTTGACACAGTTGTTTTATTGCCCATTGTAGCATACTTGCACTTTTGTTTCTATTTTCAAAATTGCTTTTAATGTCCTTGCTCTTGTTTTTCTTTAGAGAATGAGAAGCAAACAAATATCCCTGTGGTAAAGGCCTGCCCTCAGATTGGACACTATTTGGCTATGTCACCAGCGGAATTTGCCACTGTGGATACTAACCAGATGGACAAGCTTTCCAGAAGATTCTTTTGTGATGCTTACACATTCATGTACCAAGAACCAAATCACAGCTCTTACAAATATCAGTTCAGAAACTGAGGTCTTTGTGAGACTTCAAAAACTCAGAGACCCGGAGTATCTCTGTAGCAGACAGAACCACTGATGTGGCCAGAAGCAATAGACCTTCCACAATCAGCTTGGAGTTAAAGACATTGGTTTGTGTTTTAGCAACTCAGTGCTTTGAATGCCAGATTTTCTGGACATAACAATAACATAGCCGTTTTCTAGACTTCTCCCCAGGCAGACACATTGGCATCAGGTTGCTGGTTGAGTGATCCAGTGTGTTTAATCATCCCCACTGAAGATGTGTTATGCTACCATACTCTAGGAACAGCCCAGCATGGTACAGCAGGGAGAGACTGAATGCAGAACGAGCTTTTGAAGATGGAAGTCCTTCTGCTGATGTCAAAGACATGAAGGATACAAACATGCAAGACAATGGGGAAATGGTTTCTGAGAAGAATGTTGCCAAACAAAGCATTACAGAAGATAGAAGCCAGCACCAGTCTGAAAAACTACCTCATGTACTGAAGTGGCTTATTTTAATCAAATACAGAATGTCAGAATTCCTTTTTGTCATAACTACTTCTTAAGTAGTTAGGAATAACCGATGGCTCTGAGTCAATGCTTTTTTTTGGGTAAACGTATGCTAAAAATAACTGATCATAGTCATCGTTAGTTCTCAACACACTGAAAGAATGCTTAACTTTATTGACTCTGTCAAGTATTCTTTCAGCATGTTGGGCAGAGGCAGAAATGAGTTAACAACTTTCTATGTTTGTTATGTAACAAAACTAGTTTTGGGTAGTTCAGTGTCCAATTATTTCACACATTGCTTCAAACCACTTTTCTGGGTTGATCTTTTTGAGCTGAAAGTGCTGAATACAGATTGGCCAGGCACGGTGGTTAGAAGATCATCCCTGCAAACCATTTTAATATATCCTCTAAGGGCTCTAACATAAAACCAGGCTGAAATATTTTGGGAATAAATTCAATGTACTTCCAGCATCTTAAAATTGGTCTCTCTTGTGGATAGTAAACTTAGTAAAAAGCCACAGAGGTTCCTTTGTTCCAATGGCTAGATGGAAATTATTAAGAAATAATGGCAGCAGACATATTTTGCTTGAAAAAATTCCAATCCCCCACATTTATAACCAGCCAATAATCAAAGAACTGGTGATGGAGAGAAGCTCTTCTTCCCATCAGATGTTCTCTTCCTGGAAAGCAAATGAAACACATAAAATATTCTCTTCAATCCTAATTTTTTCTTCTAGGCCATTCTGTTTTACTGATTCTGCAGGAGGAAAAGCCATCCACTCTAACAAAGTATAATGCTCTGAAATCAATTAATTTATTAATCTTATGCTCTAACCAGGAAAGCTAAACTATGAGTAAAAAACTCCAATGGTCAGTATCTTAATAAATTAATTAGCAAGCCATGCCCAGGTTTTGCTTTAACCTATCATGTGTATGTTTAGATTTTGTTTTATTTTATTTTATTATATCATTAATAAAATGTATTTATGATTTTAAAAAATTAAAAATCTCATTTTTTTCAAAGCTCTAATTTTATTTTTTTATCCACTCTGTTTTAAAAGCATCTGGTTAAATTATTTTGGGCCAATACACAGAAACTAAAGGATTTCCATGGAATGTAGGGTGGGAGCAACTTTTGAAACTCACTGAAGTTTTAGCAATGGATTATAATATGATGCACAGTTGAGGACATTTTCCTCATGAATGTCCATCAGGAATTCTAAATCTCAGCAGAACGCCTCTGGATTAATTTATCCAAATATAAATGGAATTTTTCAATTTGTGCAAGAGCTTTTAGGCAACAGGTTACTTTTAGCCAATGAATTGCGACTGGATTACTGCAGCATGTATGAGAAATTTGTCCCTACGTAAAAAGAGTGAGGATCAGTCAAGCTTAAATTTCTGATATCGCTCCTGCTTTAGTCATGTCATCATAATGGGTTCCAAAATACAAACACATAAAAGCTCTAGTCATGAGTGCTTCAAAAGCCCACAGCATACTTGCATAGGGATCTTTGAGTAAGCAGAGGATGCATGCATGTGATACAGAATGCTTATGCAGTGACAATGTAATTCAAAATCCAAGCCTGATATGGAACATTTTTGTAGTGCAAAAGACCACAAACTCACTGTAAAATTGTGAATTAGTTCAAGCAATGCAGTTTTTTCTTGCTAGGACCAACGGCACTGACAAAGATGAGACACTTAGTAGGACAAGATGAATCACACATCCAAATAAGATGGGACACGGCTCATCCTATGTATAAGCTCAGCACATGTCAGCTACTGGTATAACAATACAAGAACACCCTAGTATTGGGAGGAGATACGTTTATTAATTCTGGATGAGATTCATGCAATTATATTGCTAGTAGAGCTACATATAGTAAGGCCTTCCACTTCTCAATTTGTGGATCACCAAGTTACCATGCTGATCATGACAGGTGCCACACAGTTTAAAAATGTTTACCTTATTTAGCATCACACTCATGAATGGGACAGTGCTATTCTAATATAGGAAGCCATGATGAGCAATGCCCAATGCCCAACTCTCCTTGCAAAACATTGTCTAACCTGGGAAATGTGGCCACTAACCCAACTGTATGGCTACTAGCTGCAGTTCTTTGATGAAAGAAGGGAATCTTTCACACAGTTTTGTTCATTCCAAACCAAAGACTTGTCTCAAGTTTGGTCATCTACTTGCCAGAAGGAAAAACATGCTTTGACATAACATATTTGCATGTTGCGGATTGTTGTTTCCACTAATTTCTCCTCTCTTCAGCTGCAGCACTCTGTCTCCAACCAACACTGAACATCATTCCAGAAACTTCTTCAGTCTTTATAGTTGCCCTTGTAGGGACAGAGGAGGAATGAAACTTCATTCAAGGGACTTTGGATCCAAACGATCATTCCTAGAAATATTGCCCTCTGACATTATAAAACACACTGGAATTATGCTTTCTTGGAGCTAGAACACTCAAGTTACAAAGTCAGCACTAGCAAACAAATCTATGATCAGATTGTTTAACTAAAAGCTGCAACAGGTACCCACTGCAATGATAGAGATCCAATGCAAAAGTATTAAGAGATACCAAGACCAGAAAAAATGTCATGCCATTTTTTGAAAGAAGAGAATGCCACCAAAAGTTAGACAATATCTCATGCCAGCTTTTTAACCATGTGACATTTATTAGAGTGTTCATGTATAAAATGTGGTGTATGAACAATGTTTCAAGTAAACAAATTCAAATGCAACTTAAGCTCAGAAGAGATCAAACTTATGGGGGGGGGGGGACAGTTCTCAACTGAGGAGGATAATTTTAAAAATTAAGCTACATTCCAAAAGACCTTTCAAAGAAACAGTAGTGTTATGTCTCTTGCAGCTCAAAACAGAAAGGGGGAGGGGGGGGGGAGAGAGAGAAAAACGTGGTAGCACTTTTAACACTAACTGGTTTTAGCATGAGCTTCAAATGCAGCAGATTGTGATCCTGATATTAAAGCTCCAGGTAATAAAGCATATTTCTACTGTTGTAGGCATGGAACAGGTTCTAGAAATGTGCAAACGTAAAAGGTTTCAGAATGATAAACATCATATCCCTTGCCCAACATTCTCAGAGCTGGGTGAGGAGATACAAGTCTTTTCTTTACCTACAGTGGTTGATGTGTGAAAGTATTAACACTGCATACCAGAAATCGATTTTGCTGGGTTCAAAACTCTGAGAAAATTCCTTTCCCTATGCCACTGGTTCCCAACCTTTGGTCCTCCAGGTATTTTGGATTTCAGCTCCCACAATTCCCGACAGCTAGTAAGCTGTCAGGGTTTTCTGGGAGTTGAAATCCAAAGCAAATGGAGGATGAAAGGTAGGTACCCACTGCTCTATACAGGAGACTCTCAGTTAACTGACACATGGGGACTGGTAGATGCCAAATAACTGTAGTTTCTGTTTGCTTGAGAATTACTACTCCAGTAGGTCTAATACTATAACCCATGATATACCATACCATAAACTCTGTATTGACTTGATATTAATATTGAAATACAATAATTGAAAGGAAATTATGACAAATAGACAAATTTAACTTAAAGTAGCACAATTTCACTGTAATATAAAACTGATTTTATTTTATTATAACATTGATTTTTATTTTTATTTAATGTATTATTTCTTTGATTTTTTTGCCAGTCGCTTGCAAATTATGGTTAACTGAGAGTCTACTGAAAAAATTAGGGCAAGGGACATAATCTACATCTTTCTGAAGCCTAATACATTTCTTATGTTGCACTCTGTGCTGAATCTGAAGAAGTGTGCTGAATCCACTTAATCTCATGATAATTTTTTTAAAAAATAGTCTTAAAAGTGCTGCAGCATTACTTTGTCTCCTTTCTTTCCATACCAGAAGAGTGTGTTTGATAAATTGGCAACGGAGATCTTCAACAGCAGTCACTACTATGATTTTTAGCAACAATTGTGCTTCAGCCTTCCCTGTGCTGCAGAATTCTTCTCTAATGTTAGGTCCCCATAGTAATGGGGGAAAAAAAAGATAAAATGGTGTTCAAGATACCATATAGAAAACTACCTTGGGAATTCCAAATATGTCAACATTTTGGATTAGGAAAGAGGCAAGGGAATTCAGAATCCATCCAGTTAAAACTCAAGCAAGGTTCTCTCCATAAGGCAGTTTTACTGCAAAGTTCCTCTTTCATGTTAGATTAAGATTTTAAAAACAGTCTATTCCAAGAAGATGTCAGTCCTAAGCATACCCATGTAGACAAAAATGAATATATAAAATTTTATTTAGACAACATCTATATTTATGATTCATAAGTGTGCTAAACTAGCGTACAGTCAATGTCATTATCTTTGATATCATTATTTAATAATCACAAAGATCAAAACTGAAACTCTAGGTCAACGTACTCTCAGCTCTGGAAGAGTCATAGAAGACAATAGCTGCCTCAATTAATCTATGCTATGTTTCAGTTTCAGAAACCTATCAAGGTC